CCAAGAGGCTCAATGAAATGTCGACAGCAAGAAGACGTCGCGACTTCCCGAAAAGGAGGTCGAAATCCAGCAGCCGGTGCCGCAGTCAGTCGAGAAGTCGTTCTCGTGCTGATGGCCAGCGATACTGCTGGTATCACTTCAACTACGGCGAGAAAGCAGCTAAGTGTATAAATCCTTGTAATTATCCAAAAAACTAGTTAGGCGGTCGATAGCTGCGACCGCTGATGAGTGTAAGTCGAACGCTAAGCGTTTGTTCGTCACTGACGCTAAAACTAAAGTGCAGTTTTTAGTCGACACTAGATCTGACTTCTGTGTTTACCCATTAAGCTTAGTGCGCACGCAGCGACGCAATAAAACTATGAGCTTTTCGCTACAAATAATACTGTAATCGCTACATATGGTTGGTTAAGTTTATGTTTACATTTAGGTTTAAGGCGCAGGTTGAGCAAAATGTCGCGCTAGTCGTTATTTGTGCGGTTTTTAGGAGCTATCTACTTTTTATTTAAAAGATATATCAACAAATAAAAAACACATTATATTTCTACATAATCTTGATTTCATAAAAGCTATATCCAATTTTTTTTTTAAAGGAATAAATATTAATATAATCCCCTTACAACGAAACCACATAAATGTGAAATTATTATTGATATTATGCATCTCCTCGTAAAGTAAGTATTATTTTATTTTGCGATTTACACCAATGGATAGGCAATTTATTAATGAACATTTTTATTATAAATTTTTTTTTCAAAAGACCAAAATTTAATTTTATTAAGAAATTATTTTAAAATCTGGGCGTATTCACTGCCCACGGGCTTGCTGGAGTCAGTGAGCGCTGAGCTCTTGGACGTGGAACCCGTGTCGTTAGAGCGTCGGCCAGCGCACACGCTCACGTCATCGTATCAGTCGATAATATTATAATATTATTACTTATTAGGTTATTTATAGGTAGCATTATTTGTTTGTTTTGGGTATAATTTTTCGTATTAGTTATACATATATTTGTTGTGTTTTTTACTGCGTGATGAAGCTTTTTGCGTGTATTTTCTTTGAAGTAAATGCGAATAAAAAAATGAAGCACCATTAGCATGTAAGGTTCGAATCCATAATTAACATTTCGACAAATATTATAATTTACACTATAAAAGGCTAATTTAATATTATCAGTATAGTATACAGTTAAAAATAATCCTAATACCCAACCACAATATCTTATTAGGTATAGTACTACCTCGTTGGTCTAGTGGTTGTAGTAGTGCGTCTGCTGATCATGAGGTCCCGGGGTCGAATCCCCGGGTCGGGCCACAAAGTCAGTTATGAATTTTTCATTTATGTTCTAAGTTATAATTAGTATTACTAAGTTATAGTTTTTTGCTAAATATAGTATATTATTTATTGCTAGTTTTTTTTTCTTCTTTTTCAAAAAGTAATTGAGTACATAAGGTGTTCTATACGCCGAATGTCAGAGAGAAGAGCTAGTACATCTTTTGCTAAACTTTAAAATCTAAAACCAATTTTAAAACAAACGAATTGATCATAACTCCCTTAGCTGTAAAATAAGTTATGATCTAATTAATGGTATTTATTCCAGTTTATGGCAGCCCTGATTTATATTACGTGGCTGAAATTAGGTACTTCTTATTAGGTACGTCAAACCAAATAACAGCCGGGCGGCTTTATGCACTCCATACATTTCTTATATCTAATTACAGCCACATTAATTTCCACTAAAAGAAAATAAATAACTTGTAAATTCAAACAAAAATAACTGCATTATTATGTCTATAGTCATATTCATACAAATCAAAAAGCCTATATATGAGATAATGTAAAGTAAGCATAATTTTACCGGGATCATAACTTGTCAAATAATTAGGAAAATGATCGTTTTTCGTTGCGTACCTGTTTTGATTTTAACAGTTAGGTTTAAAACTGCGAGGCGATATTTGAATAAATATACTTTCCTCTAGGTACAAAGAATTTTTTAGATGACAATATTTATAGTTAAGACTACTAGAAATCTTATTTATGGAGTAAAAAGGCGAAAAGATTGGAATTAGGGGCATGACTGGTATTAGGGGCTTCCACCCTAATTCGGTAAAAAGTATCTAAGTAGGTATTAATATACCTACTTTTTACTATAAACTAAATTTTTTTAAAACTAAATTTAACTAAAAAAAAACTAAACTGACCATTTATTTTTTAACTCAAAACAGGACATGGGTTTATTTATACTCTAAAAACTATAATTTTATACAATTAGGGTTCACTATAAAATTATATTCGGTATAGACGGTAATTATTAAATGCAACATATTTTTTAAAATTATTAATTACATTTGTCAGTGGATTAAATTTGCTTTAATAAAGTTGGTGATGATTTTAAATAAGAATAAAATTCTGCTCAAGTTTTTTTTTATTGTTACCTTTGTTAACAACATCGTCTTTAGAACTGGAACCGTAAGTGTTTTTTTCAGACGTCCACAATTTATTCAAAATAGAAAAATACTCTTTCTACTGGAGCATTTGTACCAGGTAGACATAAAATATATTCGATTAAAAAAAAACTATGTTGAAGATTGTTGACTTTGAATACTTCCATCCAACGAGTTACGGGACAATTTTGTGTCCCGGAGCTTTGTTTGGGGACAATGGGACAGGTGACCGAGAAAAGGGACAGTCCCGTTCAAAACGGGACGTATGGTCACTTTAGCTATAACCCGGCGACGGCTCCGTGGCGCAGTGGCTTAGCAATCAGTTGTTGTGCTGGGGGCCGCGGGTTCGAATCCCGCACGGAAGAAGTATTCGTATGGCCTACAAATAATTGTTCCGGGTCTGGATGTTTGTCCTTGTGCAATTTATGTTTGTAAACTGCCTCCACGACACAGGAAAAAATCCTAGTGTGGGGGTAACGTTTTTTACAATTGAAATTGAAAGATTGGACCCTTATACTTCTTAATTTATTACCTTTATTAAAGTTACCCTTATGTATGAATAAATATAATTACGTATGTGGAAATAAATTTGATTTTCATCCTTATCAATCATTGGGGTGAGGATAATGTCTGCCAGCATAAGTAATAAGCAGGCTAAGTTACAAGGTGCTCAGTTGAAAAATTAGTAGGTAGGTATGTTACTTTTCAATACGTGACATGTAAAAATTAACAATAATCAAAAACACATCTGCGAAACATCCTATTTATTTATTTATTCTTTATTGCACCAAATATTTGTACAAAAGGCGAGCTATCTATTTATTTACCTATAATAAATAGGTATCTTTTAAACTCACAATTTTCAATGCTTCATTTTAAATATATAATTAATTATAAAATTTCATAATTAGATAATATATGTGTTTCCAAGAAACATTATTAGTTGAACCTTGCAGCTTGTTCATTATTTTTATTATAAATATCTATAAATGTATATATTGTTAATAAATAATTCCCATAATATTTTGTATTATTTTTTATTTTGACTTATCTGCAATGTTCTACGCTCTATAGAAAATGTGGCGTATGACATGACTGACAATCTCTCGAACGTTTTATCTAGGTACAAAGATGTTTTACGTTTTCGTCGCCTCCACATGATATTTTTGTCAGCATAAGGTACCCTTCTGTATCTGAAACGAATATGAATATTGCTACAAAGTAAAGTAATAGGCTATACAAGTCCCTCTACTGGGCACAGGACTCTTTTTATTTCTGAGAGGGTTTTAGGGCAAGGAAATGCCCGCCGCGCTGCCCCAATGCGTGTTGACGAAAATTGCAATTACAAATTTCATTCGTGCTGTTGGGGATCAAACCCGGGAAAAATTTACAGCGAACGCTTTGACCCAGATCTATTAATACGACACAAATAAATACGATTTAACATATATAATAAAAAAAAAACCTCTTACGTACTTGAAACTTGAACACTTGATAGCTCGTGACGCCTACCGGACAAAGCTACAGCACAATGTAATTGAAGATGCGTAACCGCGACATAATTCTCAGGGATGCGCAAGCATAACAGGCAGTATGTCACTTATATAATTGTCATCTCTGCAGTCTATTAATCTTTGCACTTTTATAAGTAATACAGAACGTAGTTGATAGACGGTGTTGACGTCGACTAAAATCTCTGCGATCGCCGTTTCGTCAAGGTCATTCAGGCTTGTTAAAGCCTTAATATGAATAACGTTCAAGAGGCAGCTGCTATAGGTACCTAATTGTGTGAACAGTATGTGAATGCGTTAACCATAAATATATATATATATATATATATATATATATATATATATATATATATATAAATTAATATATAACTGGCGTTACGCCGAGTAGTGTAGTGATCAGGGCAACTCGCGAAGTCCTTTGACTCGGGTGCAAAAAAGCGAAAGCGATCGGAAGTCGCCCGAGGCGAAAAAAGGTTACACGAAGCGAATCGAAGTATCTCTCTACACTATTCTCCTCGCCCAACTTCGATAAACTTCGCGAGTAGTTTATAGGGGCCATTAGGAGCACTAGACTCGAAAGTTTTGATGAATATGCTTACCCAGAACAAATAGTCCCAGGAAGTAAGTTCAACTTCAACCAAGAGATCAACTTGACGGATCCAAATTGGATGAGAAGCGTTTGGATTAAGACATATTTCGGCACGTGTACCTCAAAACTTGGTAATATATCTCGAACGAAGAGGAAGAAAGATTCGAATGGCAGCCTCATACCTGTAACAGAAGTGCAGGGCAGCCCCCTACTAGATATAGTGGCACAGGAGCGTGATTTGTGGCATTTCTTGAGGAAGGCCTATGTTCAGTAGTGGATTTGTGCTGGACTGTAATGATAATGATGATGGGTTCGCCAAGGGGTTTTATTAGTGTCATGTGCGATAAACCCGATGAATAGCTTCGGAGTTATGAGCCGATATAGAAGCTGACATCAATACCATCCAATAATATTACCAACTTATTGAGTTCCGCCGTAGTCCGGTAATAAAACAACATAGGAAATGTTATATAGTATAATAATAAGTACATTATATAGTATAATATAATAAGTACATAATTCTATTTGGTTATTGGGTTAAAAATTATTATCTGTCATTTTACTAGTCACTTTACTAATGGTTAATTGTTTTCCTGACCTATGTATTTGAACTAGACTTTGGTCTAACTGATACAGCTTGACAGTGGTGCCTTCTAGCACAGCACTCGAGGAAATGCTAACTCCTTCTTCATTTACCGTAACGAAATTGACGTCACCACTGCAATTTATGTCATTGACAAAATTAACATCATTTGCAGTCAAGCATATATCACTTGTTTGATAATCGCCATTATTTTGCACGTTCTGTACCACCAATATTTCGGGTTTTATATCGCTATCTTCTTGCAATACAACTTCTTCTGTTACTTCTAATGGCATATCTTGAGCTATTTCTAGGTTCTCATCTTGATCGACATCAAGTTTTTGATCTTGAGCGGTATCAAGTTTCTTATTTTTAGCCATGTCTAGTTTTTCAACTTGAGCGATATTTAGTTTCTGACTTAGGCTCGCGACGCTTTTAGTATTTTCATCGTCATCGACGTCGACATTGGTCGTGTCTTTTTTATCTTCGGAACATACTACTTCATTGGCCACGAAGAACGAGTTGGTGTTCAAGTCGAGTTGTCGAACTATGTACACTTCCTCCTGTTGTTTTGTTGATTTCTTTTGATTCTGGTGTACTTTAAAGTGTTTCATCAGCCTAGATTTCGTTGCAAATACTTCCGTGCAGAACGCGCATTCGAATGGTTTTTCACCTGAAAATAGAATTTGACCTTTGTTAATATAGCTCCTAGATTTTAGTATATCTTATATTACTGGTAAAATCTTTTTTTCTGTTAAAGACCTAAATTAAATCTTCTTGTTACTATGTTAATTATATCAAGTCATCAACAAACGAATCACGGATCGGAAAAGCAATCGGCGCTCACCAAAATGCGACGTCATGCAGCAGTTACAAAAAAATTTTCACATATGGTTTCTCGCGAGAGGGTAATTATGAGAACTATTTTGTTAGTGTTACCACTTATTATTACCACTAGATGAAGTGATGACCTGATAAGACATGCAGGAAGTTGAGGGGTTCAGGTGGCTCATTACTAGTGGGATGCCTATGTGCAGCAGAGGAGTTGTGAAGGGCTGTAATAATGAGAAAGTAGTGATGCCACAAAGCAAGGTTTAGAGCCACTAGAATCCATTGACTTCCTGCATGTCTTACCAGGTCGGCACTCCATTTAGTAGGGAACCAAACCATGATTACTTATTTAAATAAAATATCGCACCTTAGGTATATCAATGTTAGGTATTTTACATAAGAAATTTAGGTAACACGCGAGTATTTTGTTTCCCTAACAAGGGCTCAGTCCTAACTTTGTTTTATAACCGGACTCGAAGAGTAAGTATTTTTTGCAAGTGTCGAGTAATTAAAAATTATCTGTTGCCATTTGCCCTCAGGTGGACTGTTCGTTTATCGTTTCAGTTTAAAAAAATACATGAGTATAAATGAATTAGTATTCGTCTTTGTAGCTAAGTATATACATCTCTACATGTATACCTAGCGTTTGTATACTTGTTTATCTTAGCCTGTAAGTTTGTGTGCGTTTGCATCTGCGTCGAAATTCGACCGTAATTCATTATTTTTTTTAAGTTTGTAAATTAAGCAAGAGGTTTTCACATTCAACTGCACATTAAAACACAGATTTTATCATGTTTTGCCGTACTGGTCATTTCAGATCAAAATAATTTTAGTTTGACTAAGAATTCTTATTTCAAATTCATTTTATATTAAAAACGTGATATTCTTTTTTCTAAATTAGTAATTTGTTTATTGATTAGCAATGATGTTTTCATCGCATTTAAATCTTCTTCGTCATCATGGATACGTTAAAAATTCGAGTAATTATGGAATATGCACGTCGAGGCACGCTACATCAACGACGTTTACGGAGGGAATACTACAAACGAATGCACAACCTATAATTGGTTTGCCCACTTCAGTTTTGGAAATGAACCCGCGAACGCGGTAAAAGGCGACAAAGGGAAACAGGCAGGAGATGAGCAGCAGCATCTTCCTGATAATAGCCAAAATTACAATAAAAAAACTGCGGTTGCCAACCCGTTCGCCAAGCGTGGCAACTATGGCAAATACCCCCCAATGATTAAAGCAACAAACAGACGGCCCCCAGTCCCCGGCGGCCCCGCTATTCCTGGCTACGGTGGCGACCATGGTAACGGCGGGGCAGGGGGTGCTAAGAATCTCCGGTGGAGGTTCGGTTGCCACCTTAGACGACTCGACCTGGCAACTTACAACGCACGCACCCTGAGGACTGACGAGAAGATCGTGGAGCTGGAAGAAGAGATAGACAAGTTGCGCTGGCATATTATAGGATTATCTGAAGTCCGAAGAGAGGGGGAGGACTCGGTAATCCTCGAATCCGGCAACTTGCTCTATCACCGGGAGGGCGACCATCTGTCCCAAGGAGGTGTCGGATTTATCGTCCACAAGTCTCTCGTTAACAACGTTATAAAGATCAGGAGTGTATCGACGAGGGTTGCGTACCTTATACTCAGAATCACCAAACGGTGTTCGTTGAAGGTCATACAGGTTTACGCGCCAACCTCGGCACACCCCGATGAGGAGGTGGAGGAAATGTATGAGGATATCTCTAGAGCCATACATTCCTCCAAAATCCAATATACGGTGTTAATGGGAGACTTCAATGCAAAACTAGCCACAAGAGAGAACGGTGAGCTGAAAGTAGGGAAATGTGGAATAGGGCAACGGAACCCAAGGGGCCAGCAGCTGGCCGACTTCATGGAGAAAGAGGGACTCTTTATGATGAACTCTTTCTTCCAGAAGCGGCCCCACAGGAAGTGGACCTGGTCGAGCCCCGACGGTTCGACAAAAAATGAGATTGACTTCATTATGACGACCAGACGACAACTGTTCAGTGATGTCTCTGTGATAGCGAGGGTGAAAACTGGTAGCGATCACTGAATGGTTAGAGGCACACTGAACCTAAACGTTAAGTTGGAGAGGTCTCGTCTAATGAAGTCAACGCTCCGTCCCCCTCGTGCTCTGTGCCAAAGTCCCAAAACCTTTCAGCTCGAGTTACAAAACCGTTTTCAGTGCCTAGAAGACTGCAATGAAGCGGACGATATGAATGACAAGCTCGTGGAAACTGTCCATGCGGTCGGAGCTAAGTTCTGCAAGACCCGCCGCAGAAGAACACAAAAACTCTCCGATCACACTCTTAATCTCATGGCTGTTAGACGGGAGATGAAGCTACTTTCTTCAACAGATTTGACAGCATACAGGCAACTGAACAGACAGATCTCCAAATGCATGCGGCGGGACTTACGCAACTTTAATACTGCTCGTATTGAAGAAGCGATCGAGCGGAACCAAGGCTCCAAAGTCTTTGCCAGAGATCTGTGTGCCAGAAAGAGTCAACTGTCAAAGCTGAAGACCCAATTATGGCAGCATCGTTTCCGGGACACCTGAGATTTTGAGTGAGATTGAGAGGTTCTATGGGCAGCTGTACACGTCATCTTTGGAGCCACACGCAAGTGTGAGTAACGATCCAAGAGCGAGTCTTATCCGACACTATTCCGAAGATATCCCGGACGTCAGTCTGAGCGAGATTAGAATGGCTCTCCAGCACCTTAAAAACGGCAAGGCCCCAGGCGAGGATAGAATTACAGCGGAGCTTCTGAAAGCGGGTGGAAGACCGGTACTTGAAGTCCTTCAGAAGCTCTTTAATTCCGTCCTCCATGGTGGCATTACACCGGAGGCGTGGAGCAGATGTGCGGTGGTCTTGTTCTTCAAGAAAGGTGACAACGCTCTCTTGAAGAACTACAGACCGATTTCCCTTCTGAGCCGCGTCTACGTGCTGTTTTCGAGAGTCATTACGAATCGTCTCGCGCGCAGACTCGACGACTTCCAGCCTCCCGAACAAGCCGGTTTCCGAAAGGGCTTTAGCACCATAGACCACATACATACCCTTCGGCAAATTGTACAGAAGTCTGAAGAGTACAATTTGCCACTATGTCTGGCGAATGTGGACTATGAGAAAGCCTTTGATTCCGTCGAAATTTGGGCGGTGCTGCAGTCCCTTCAGCGGTGCCAAGTTGACTGTCGGTATATCGAAGTGCTGAAGTGTTTGTACAGTAGAGCTACGATGGCTATCCGAGTACAGAACCAGAGTACGAAACCGTGATGTTATATCCCCGAAACTCTTCACCGCTGCATTGGAAGACGTATTCAAGCTTCTGGACTGGAAAGGATACGGTATTAACATCAATGGCGAGTACATCACTGTTGGCGACGCGTCTATAAAAACATTTCAATTTATTAGTTAGCCGATTACGAATAGCTTCTAAAAGCGAAAATTTCAAGTCATAATATTCTAATAAGAAAACGCTTAGTTGAATCTTAAAGAAATGTCGAATTAATAATTTGAAGGTCTTGGGTTCGATTCCCAGGCCGGACTAGTTCGTCGTTTTTCTTAGTAATATTTTCTTAATAAAATTCATAAAGGGAATTTTTAAGATATAAGTTATGTTTCCGGGTTCAGTTCCTCGGTTGAAACCACCTTTCCAATAATATTGATAATTTAAAGAAATATTAAAATAAATTTTTGTTTTATATAAGTTTGATACATTTTGTACGAAAGTAAAATGTCTATTTTCAATGTTTGGTTAATAAAATATTTTCTTTGTCTTATCTAATAAGAACATGATAACTGATAACAGCTTTGATAACTGATAAGAGATTCTTATTGGATACTACCTTGCCGACAATGGGGGTCGTGCAAAAATTGATTGCTCATCTTGTGGTAATGGACCACAGAGAAATAGGCTAAAATTGCCATCTGCTTTACCGACCACAGGGTGTGGGGTAAAAGTTAGTTGTTCATCTAGTTGGATACAACAACAGTGTGCTAATCTGTAGAATTAAAATTTAAATAAATAGAAATTTAAATATTTGTAAATTTCAGCAATTTATGTAAAATTGACTTGTAAAATGTTTCAGGTTGACTGTATGAGCAAAATAGATGAATTCTGTGTTGTTTTCATGTATAAATTCCTATAGAATAGTGAAATATTGATAGTTTTGTAAAAAAAGTTTAAAAGTGTTTTAAATGGTAAAATATATAGGAAAAATGTAAATAAAACTATTGTATTAGTTAAGATATTTGTATTTTCAAATAAAGAACATTCTTTCAGGCTTATATGTTAGATATTTAAAAATTCTAACTTAGTGCATATGTTGTAAAATAGGCATATTTTGTTGAATAAATAAAAGGTTTTTTGTGATATGAAAATGTGTATATCGTAGTATACATATTTTTTGTGCTATCTTTATAAATAAAATGTATAAATGTATGTCTTATACAAATAAAGATATTGAGCAAACCGTGAGGGAGTGATAGTACAAATTGATGTAATTAAGTTGCGAAATTGCATAGAGGGCGCGGCTCTCTTTCGAGTATAGCCTTTTTGATACCCCGTTAGACTGATTTTCATGTAAATCGTGCGGGACCAGCTACCAGTATATAATATAATCAAGAAAGAAAAGTATATAGGGAAGTGATAGGGAAAGTAATTACTCTCTCACGGAACGGTTTGAAGATAATTGGTGTTTTATTCCCAAGGGATCCTTCACCTATAAGAATAAGTACAGTCCTTCTGGTGTCGCCGGAGCGGCACATATTGAAGAATTAAGGCGTTGGGACCGGCACGACCTCGGAATACCCGTAATCCCCGTCTGAACCTATTTGAAGAAAAGGAAGAGGTTACTCCGTTGCGGGGTTCACATACGTTGTTCCTGAACCCAACGTAGGCGTCTTAGGCAGGAGTTAGCTCCGTCCTTTTCAATTGATCCTTTGAGAAGAGGTCTATGTCCTTTTCAATTGGTCCTTTGAGAAGACGGATTAAGAAGCTCTGTTCCTTTTTATTTGCTCCTTCGCAGCAGGATTAGAAGAGCCTCTCTGTCCTTTTTATTTGGTTCCTTACGAGCCGGATTTAAGGAAACAGGAATAACCTCTGTCCTTTTTAATCACTCATCTTCGATTTGCCGACGATATAGTCCTTATGGCAGAATCACTGGAGGACCTAAGCACTATGCTTGTTTAGGCAAAAATATTATACATTTGAAACGTGAATCTTTTAACGTGCGTTCGTAGCTTAGCTTCGATAGCAAGGTCACCCGCCCCCCACCCGGTCGCATTCCACGGCGGTATCGGCCGGATTTCTCGAAAAGCATTGTAAAGTTTTTTGCGATCTATACTGACGTCTTAGTGATTAGCGCCTATATTTATTACGAAAGTATAAACCCGCGTAAATCGTTGCGAGAACACGTATTGTTCTTTAGGACTTATTAATTTCTGTCAAATTAATTGTGCAACTCCGATAGTGATTTTCCTCTGAAGTTCTACGTTTGGCTGTACCATTACGTGACAAAACGGAAAGAGTGCCTCAAGAGGGGAATAGTTCCGAGGCTACCAGCGGATACCTTCTCCAGGACAGTATTGTGTCATCTAGCCCAGGCAACTTACACACATATTCATACAAATCACACATACATTCACTACACTTCCATCAGCCGGGCAGGTCCTGGTGAACCGTCTCCGCTCCAGAAGCAGGTAAGTGCCTTTCCCTTACCGATCTTTCCCCCTTTTGTTTATTTTAATTAGAGACCTTCCACTTTGGCCTTAAAGGCCCGACCTGCATCTGCCTGTAGGTTCTTCCTACCATAGGCCCGGGAGGATCCTACTATTAGATAGGCAGCTGCACGCCGTAACAATGCTCAATGACCTCCATAGTATCTCCCAACGGATAGGTCTTAAGATGAACATGGACAAAACAAAGATTATGTTTAATGTCCATGTCACACCTATGCCGGTAGTTGTTGGGAGCACTAAGCTCGAAGTTGTTGACGAGTATGTTTACCTGGGACAAATAGTCCGACTAGGTAAGTCCAACTTCGACCGAGAGGTCAATCGACGGATTCAACTCGGCTGGGCAGCGTTCGGGAAGCTACGACACATCTTCTCGTCAAACATACCTCAAAACCTTAAAACGAAATTGTACAACCAGTGCGTGTTGCCAGTGATAACTTACGGAACTGAAACGTGGTCCTTCAATGCTGGCCGTATGAGGAAGCTCAAGGTCGCTCAGCGAGCTATGGAGAGGGCTATGCTCAGAGTTTCTCTGCGTGATAAACTTAGGAATGAGGATATCCGCAGTAGGACCAGAGTAACCGACATAGTCCAACGGATTAGTAAGCTGAAGTGGCAGTGGGCCGGCCATATAGCTCGAAGAACCGACAACCGATGGGGAAGAAAGGTTCTCGAGTGGCAGCCTCGTACCGGTAGGCGAAGTGTAGGGCGAGATGGAAGTGACGACCTGGTAAGACATGCAGGAAGTCGATGAATGCAGGTGGCTCAGGACCGTGCTTTATGGCATTCCTTGGGGGAGGCCTATGTTCAGCAGTGGACTTATGAAAGGCTGTAATGATGATGATGAAATGAACCCCGTGGTCGTCTGAAAACTTTGATCGACGATGCCGAATTAAAGGCGATCATGAAAGCTCATAATACTCAATCTACGGCTGAATTAGCAGCAGCTTTCGGCGTTAGCATCAAAACGATATATGTCCATTTGCGTCATATTGGCAAGATAAAAAAAACTTGACAAATGGGTGCCCCACGAATGCAATGATCGCCAGCGCGAAGTACGCGTAGATTCGTGCCTTGCACTGCTCAACAGGCACACAAACGAAGAAATTTTGAAGCACATTGTTACATGCGACGAAATTGGATTCTGTTTGACAATCGCAAGCTCTCAGCAAGTTGGTTGGATTGGAGTTCAGCGCCTAAACAATGCCCTAAACGAAAACTTACCCCCAGAAAAGTAATTGGTGGTCGAGCGCCGGTGTGATTCATCACAGCTTCTTACCAAATGAGATAAGTAAGTAATGCAGACATGTACTGTGAAAACTGAACACAATGATGGAAAAGATAGCACGTCTCCAACAAGATTTGGTCAATCGCCTATCCCCGCTGCTCCTGCACGACAACGCGGGACCTTATACTGCACAACAGACGGTCTCCAAATTACAAGAGCTAGAGTTGGAAGCTTTCCGTCATCCGCCGTACTCACCAGACCTTGCGCCTACAGACTTCTACTTTTTCCAGAATTTGGATAACTTTTTGGCGGGAAAAAATTCAATACCCGAGAGGCAGTACAAAATACCTTTGAAGAATTTTTTTGCCTCCCGTCCTGCTGATTTCTTCCAGGGTCAGGGTCAAGGTCAAGATCAAGGATCAAGGGCATCAATAAACTGCCACTGCGTTGGCAACTATGCATAGATTGCAAGGGTGATTACTTTGATTAACAGAAGTAAAAAAATATAGTAAAAATAACTACTTTAACTTATTTCATAAAAAATGATAATTAACGCATGTTGCCTTGACAAACATTCCACAGACCATTGAAAAGGAACATATGAAATCACACAAAATTAAGTGGTATTTATTTATTCGCGACATTTAATTTTGTTTGGCTACAATCTCTACTTTGTGCGACAAAGTAGTTGTGCGACTGTTTGACTACAGACTATTATGTGTTTGACATTGGCAGTTTCATGCTGCCAATGTCAAAAACATAATAGTTTTAAGTAAGTAATGAATGTTGTATTTAATTTAATTTCATGTAATTGCAACACATATTGTGTACATATAATTTGATGCTTTGTGCACTCAAGGTTCAAGGTTTTCCCTTGACGTATTAATACGAAAATGAAGTAGTTACCGGTGTGTTGTCGACAATGGTCCCTCAGGCGCCAGGCGCTGGCGAAGCGCTTGGAGCAGAGCGCGCACGCGTGCGGCCGCTCGCCCGTGTGCTGCGCCATGTGCGCGCGCATGTCCTGTCGCGCGAACCTGTACCAACAAACCTCTATCATCTATTCATTTATTAGTCTTGGATATACCGTAAACCGCTGCAACATTGCCTTTCATATCCAACTTTGCCTAATACAATAATTTACCACTAACATTCAAATTATGCCACGTAGCAAAATGAAATTCTTAGTAAGTTTTTAAATTGTCATATGGCAACTCAGAAAACCAGCCGCCATGTTTATATTTGTTGAAACCGCAAGGCAGTGACCTGTCAAACGCAACAAGTGTTAGCCGGCGTCAAACTTTCGTGATAAACTGTTTTAGTTAGTATAAAATTATATTAAAATTTCCACACAGTTTGATACTTATATGTTAGCTGTATGTTTTACTATCATTTTGAGTTAATTTTTAATGTTTATTATGACAAACAAACAAATAATTTTTGTTTAGGCAAATTTGTCACAATAATTTCGATCTAGAATTTATTACTTAGCTACTTAAATTATTTCTACATACATACTACTATAAAATATATTATAAATAAATTTATTATATCAAAGCATTTTTGATATAATAAAGTCTTTCAAATCAGACGAAAATAAGAATAAATACTATAAATTAAGTATTTCAGTGTATGGGTGATATAAGAGTCCAATCGAGTCCAAAATTTGACGGGTCCGTGACGCAGTGACTTAGCAATGTGAACAAGTATTTATATGGCCTACAAATAATTTTCCCGGGTCTGGATGTCTGTCCATGTGCAATTTGTGTTTGTAAACTGCCACCACGATACAGGAGAAAATGTTAGAGTGGGGGTAACGTTTTTTTTTAAAAAATAAGAAATAAATAAGAATAAGAAATCCCTCATCTAAATTAATTTTTTTAGAATTACACTTTTTACCAATATTATTGTGTAATGCATAATTCGTCATTTGTTTACAATTTAGGGGCAAATTGAAAATTGTCTGTGTCACGTCAGCATGAATTTAACGCGAGCATATTTTCGTACAATGACTTTTTATGACTTTCGATGTCATTTAAATTAACAAGAAAGTTATGTTAGACTTAAATTGGCCTTTCACGATGAAGCCCCATCTCGTGCCACTGTTTACAACTGGTTTAATGAGTTTAAACGTGGTCGCACTAATCTCACCGATGATCTGCGTGAAGGATGGCCTTCTACGGCGACGACTGAAAATAACAACAGTGTTATGCGGCGTATGATAGAGACTGACAAAAGAGTGACTTATCAGCAGATTTGGACAAGCTTAGGTATCAGTATGAGTTAAGTGCACAAAATATAACAGTGGTAAAGCCACGCGGCAGCTTTTGCTGTCGTACGGATGGGCCGGCTCGAACCGGGGTGGTACCACGACCTCACAGAATACCAGCGTGAAGTAGAGGTTTACCTCTGCGATTCGCTTGATGAGTGCAGGTGGCCGGAGGCCCTTTTTACTGGAAATGAGGCATTCCATCTTAGTCCTCACGGGTGACATCGCATCTGCATTTTGATTTGTAATAGAGGATAGATGTAGATGTCTATGGGCCGCAGCAACCACTTACCATCAGGTGGACTGTGTGCTCGTTTGTCACCCTTATCCTATAAAAAAAAAATCTTCCATGAACATTAAGCGGTCAGGCAGCTTTGTGTCCGTTGGATACCTCGTAATTTGACAAAGGCCCAAAAACTCCGTCGTGTTGATTGATTGGTGTCGTGAAATGGTTCAAAGATTTAACGGAGGTGACTCAAATGCTGTGTTCGACATACTTACGGGTGACGAAAGCTGGATTTATTGTTATGATCCTGAAACTAAGAGACAGTCTGCTGTCTGGGTGTTTCCTTCCGAGTAGTTGCCAACTAAAGTGAGAAGAGGTCGAAGCGTGGGAAAAAAGATGGTGGACGAGTTCTTCGGAAAGACAGATCATTACGCAACAATTGTTTTAGAGGATCGAAAAAACAGTTACTGCAGAGTGGTACACTAACATTTGTTTGCCACTTGTCTTGAAAAAAGTTCGGAAGAAACGACTTCGCAGCAGGATCCTCCTTCACCACCACAACGCCTCGTCGCACACCGCCAAGCAAACAATGGACTACTTGGCGATGTCAGACGTGGAATTACTGGGTCACCCGTGCTATAGCCCCGACCTCGCACCTTGCGATTTTTATTTATTTCCAAAAACAAAAGAAAAACTTCGAGGAAAACGATTTATAAACGCCGAGAAAGTAGTGGCTGCGTTTCAAAATGCCGTCGAAAAGACACTATTTGAAAAGATATAATAAAACTAATAACTTGCTAGTTTGTTCAGTTTTTGATTTTCTAAGAACTTTCAGTGACATCCTCGTATATACCAAGTTTCAGCCTAATCGGGTCATTAGCTTTTGAGTTATCAATAAGTAAACAAGTCAATTGGGAAGAAACTAGCCCGTATGGAGAAAATAGAATACCGCGCCGTCATTAAGTTTCTCACCAAACAAGGAAAAACATCTCAAACCATTTTTCAAGAGATGTCAGCTGTTTATGGGGACTCCGTTCCTTGGAAAACCATGATTTATAAATGGCACGCCCTTTTCATACTCGAAAATCGAAAAACTTGTATCGGAAGATGCCCGGCTAAAGAAAAAACAGCTTTCAGCATTAGTTGGAGTATCAAAAACAATTATTTTAAACATCCTACAACAACACCTTGACATGACTACTGACATGTTGCAAGGCACGTTGCGCAAACTATACCCGGTAACAAAACAAATGGCGCGACACTGACGGCTGACACGTACGCTCGCTCTCGGAGCGGGAATAAGTAACTTGTACCGCGTCACGTAAAATGTTGCGGACCATGTTGTGTGTGGGTCACTGTTGCATCGTCGCGTAGATTGAGTGTTCCGCGTCATGTGGCGGGACAAAATGTCCCCTAGTGTATCCGGGGCTTTAATTTAAGTCCCACGCCGCGTTTCGATATCTGATACCAGTTTCTCGAATCCTCAGAATCAATAATTCAATCGTTTGGCAATTTATACGCTATTACAACAAAGTCCCAGAAAATACGCTGAGTCAATCTAACAAAAAAAAAGTTTGAGTTTTTTTTACTTAGACATATTTGTTTAGAGAGAGTTATTATACTATTAAAGATTACGTAATTGATAATTGAACCTCTGAAAATTATGTGATCGTTACTATGTTGTTTCTAATTGTTATATAATAACTCTACTACTTAAATTGTAAGTCCCCCTGAATTTCCTGCTGGTTCCTCTTAGGTCTTTACCCGAACCTGTGTTAAACGCATAAATGACTCAATAAGTATTCTTCCAATCATTAAAATTTCGGATTAAGTGTGTTCGTAACTCTTCTACTAAACGGATAGACCGATTTTGATAAAATTTTATGGGCTTACTTGGATGGTTCTTAGCTATAATTGCACCCGATAGGTGGCGGTGTTGTCGAGATCCAGAAATCACCCGTACGGAGCCGGGGCGGATCGCTAGTCTTATTTATATAAATAATCTTATCATATTCCTAAGATATCTGCAATTCCAATCGCGTTCGAAAATATAAAAGGTCTCTGTACAATGAAATTTAAATATATTATTTATTAAACAAAAACATGGTTGACAATAACCGCTGGAATGAGGTGGTCGTTTCCAAGCGGTTTCTCAAATAAGTTTTGTAAGTAGTTTGTACAATATGTGTAGTTATTTTATAATTTTACTTTAAAAAAATAAAGTTTCTCTGGGTTTCTTCCTGAGGACAGATATTTTTCCGAACCAGTGGTAAAAGTAAAAAATGACCTCTTGAGAGCTTCAATAACGTGTGCAGAGTAAATCATCAAATTTATATACAAATAAGATACGGTGAAATTATTGTTGATGGTCGCGTCTGTGAGCCGAGAGCGTTTACACACACGAGAGTACACGTATTTATTTTGAATGCTGGAGCTTTGAGATTTAATCATTTTTCTTTCACTTATTATATGCCTGCTTGACTACAATCCCGCCTGGTGGAATATAATATATGGTGGTATAATTTAGATATGCGGGTATCTATAATCTCTATAACCGCCTAGATACTTTTAGCACTACCCTAAGGTTGATTGATAGATAATGTACCTACTGTATTTATATGTTTTCATAAAGATTAGATAAATAAATGAATATGTTATGACTAATGAACGTATTATTATTTAAAATTATTATAATAAAAAGAATATATTATATGAAATTATTCACATGCAAGAATTGAATTACTTAAATCATTGTTAAAACGTTATCACATGAGCAGCGATCATCTTGCAGTCAAGATGATCGCTGCTCATGCTAAAACAAATAGCTAAAACAAGCTAAGCGAGTGTGATACGTATATTATTATAAATAATTTTCGGCTCTAATAATATATAAAAATAATAGTGAAATACTGGCTTAGAATTTTTTTTATAGAATAAGGGTGACAACGAGCACACAATCCAAATGATAGTAAGCGAAAGCTGCAGCTCATAGACATCTACATTTGTTCTCGATTAAGAATCAAAATGTAGATGCATTGTCAGCCCTGAGGACTGATATGGAATGCTTCGTTTCCAGTAAAAAGGGTCTTCGGTTCTCAACACTCACCAAGCGAAACACAGCAGCGTTAAGTTACTATTTAACGCTGGTATTCTGTGAGAGCGTGGTCCTACCCTGGTCGAGCCGACCCATTCGTGCTACAACCATAATATAGCTGCAGCGTAGTGCTACCAAGTAAAAATAAAAATGAACTTTTGATATATAAACTAGTAATATATTTTTTCAACACACCTCTTCTCGCAAACTGGACAGGCGTAGGGTTTGTCTCCGGTGTGAGTCCTCACGTGAGTCTTCAATGATGAACCCGAAGCGAATTTGCGGTCGCACATCTTGCAGGAATACGGCCTCTCTCCTGAAATAAACAGTTATAAATATAAATAATATATAACTTAATGGCCACCGTTCTGTGTAGGTATTAGTGCGAAGTCCGCCCCAAATTTAGAAGAAACTGTTACTTTAGGCGTTGTTAAAATGGACTGGGCCTCTAACACTGAATGTACTTACACTTACTTAAATCGGATACAAGTAGACGTGGACGAGTCGACCCCAAATTGTATACTGTATAGCGTAGCCACATAAACATATCGTTTTTACTGATTGTGTGACTGTAATTTAATGAATATTGTGAAATGTGAACCTGTTATACAATAAGAAGAAACATTGTAGCAGTGAACAGCGAGTTTAATTTTATCACCAACCTCACAACACTGAAGTAAATGCCAACTAAACTATAGCTCAGTTTAGTTGGAACTTATACAACGACATACAAGTCAGCGCCAAAACGTTACTTGGGATGTGTATGAATGTGACAACGCGCTATACTCGTAAGTCTGAAGCAAGCTGTTCGTTTACGATAGTGTCATTGTATCGTATGTTCACATAAACGCTAAACTTAGAAGAAACCCTTGGAAGTTGAAAATAAAGTGGATTATATTAAGCGTCTTTGTTTGTAAACATAATATAACGCACATGTTCACATCCGACCTATCCCTAATGCAAACATAATCTACAGGAACAACGTTAGCTGAAATTCATGCCCGAGGCTCAAGATTGGCTAGTCTATTAGCCGACTTATAAACGACGGGGACGTCTTTAATCACTTCGACATCAAATCCCTAGTAAAAAGAAAAAAGGTTTCCGAGTGGGCTAATTGCGGCGTTCAAAATTTGCTAGGCTTTTCGCAGTTCTTAACACTCGCAGATATTGTAGGCTTTATAGTTGCTTTCCGGCGAAATTTTCACAACTGAGTTCCCCAAATAATTATTTTTCGATAGTCGGCGCACGCTCATGTACTCGTATCAACCTAACATTCAAGGTCAATCCGGTTCGCTCAAAAACTCTCCTATTTTAATGTGAAAATGATCTAAAACAATCTGGATTAATTACAGGTCCTAAAGAGGAAAGATTATGTCTACGGATGGATATAAGGTTGAATTTATTTAAGTGAATTATTTTTAGTTCGATCTACACAGAATGAGCTTATTGTGTCTTGAGGTTTTGCAATGGTATGATTGGGTTTAGCTTTAATTTTACTAATTACAGGAACCCAAGCAGGTGGTAGTACCCAGACACATTCTCTATTACAATTTGATATATCATCCTTAATAAGAATCGCTGTTCTTTCACGAGGATATGTGGTCTATCAAATCTGATGTAATGGCAGGGGCCGTTTAGGATGTGATTCTGGGACTTCTCGGAACGTTGGTGTTTCTCATCAGCTATATGTTCTTTTACACGGGTTTTTATTGATCTTTTTCTTTGCCCTATATAAGTGAGACCACATTCACAATCAAGTTTGTTTTAACAAACATCGGGAATTAAATATACGTGAATAAAACGCGATAAAATCCGCGTGAATGAGTTTTTCTAAAAACAGCCATACAATGGGATTTTACGAACTTAGAGGGTTGTATTGATGATTATAATGATTATAATTCTGTAAATACATACTCGTTACAGTCGCGAATCATATTTTGTTACACATACAACCTGACACTGACCTGCAAATTGTAAAAAAACGTAAGAAAATTTGAATATCGCGGTCTACCCTGGCGCTTTCACCTTAATGTGAAGTCTTAGATAACGTTAATTTCGAGACATCTCAACGGCTTATCCATGGACAGATTCTCTAAATAAGGTTTTTGATACTATAATCTGCTTAATCATTATTAACATAAATTAGTTTATACTTTAAATTCTCAATGGATATAGCATTAAATTCAAGTAAATACTTTAGTTTTTAAAAAATATTTCTAAAATATATCAAAAACTACCATTTACACTTTAATAAAACCGAAACTGGTTGAATATAGCAAGCATATAGAAAAATTTAAATTCATACCAGTGTGTGTGCGCATGTGCAGTACAAGGTTGGAACGCTGAATGAAGGTCTTCCCGCATGAAGCACAAATGAAAGGTTTCTCGCCCGTGTGCGTCCGATGGTGGGTGTTCCGTGTTGACTCATGTCGAAAACTAGCAAGTAAATAAATACATATTATGTTAATAATTTGTTAATGTTATTACATACATATCTGTAATTTCTATCACCTAATACATTTGTAATGTGATAATTAAGAGAGCGAGTGAAACATTCTCTCTTACCTTTATTTAAATCTGGTAGTACATTGGACCCCGCTAATTATAGACCTATTTCTGTACTACCAAAGCTCAGTAAAATTTTTGAAAAAATAATGTTTGATCAATTGTTATTTTTTTTTAATACAAATAAATTACTTCATAAAAATCAATTTGGTTTTACAAGGGGTCGCTAAACGTCTGACGCCGGTGTTGAGCTTATGAAATATATTTTTAATGCATGGGAGAATTCACAAGATGCCTTAGGTATTTTCTGTGACCTTTCCAAGGCTTTCGATTGTGTTCATCATGATACATTAATCAGGAAACTACAATATTACGGTGTAAAAAATTTGGCGCTTAAACTTATTACTTCATATTTAAGTAACAGAACTCAAAAAGTCGTCATTAATGGTAAATGTTCCTCCGGATCGGTAGTATCAATGGGCGTTCCTCAGGGCTCGATTCTTGGCCCATTTCTGTTCTTAATCTATATTAATGACTTACCTTATCTTGTAGGAGACAATCACGATATAGTATTATTTGCTGACGATACCTCTTTAATTTCCAAACTGAAACGGCAGTCAATTAAATATGACGATGTAAATAATGCTCTATTGAAACTAGTACATTGGTTTAACGCCAACAATTTGCTCTTAAACGGCAATAAGACAAAATGTATTAAATTTACAATACCTAATGTAAAACATTCGCTAAAACCAATGTGCTCTTAAATGGGGAGGAGTTGAGTCTTGTGGATACGCGAAGCGGTAGTGACCTTTGATCCGGACACTCCCTGTTCATTTTGTGTGTTAGGCTTTATAACAAACGAGAGTTAGTGGCTTCTGTAAGTTAGTTAATAGTACGATAGAGTTAATGGACTGTCATCGTGACGAACGAAGAAAGTGACTATGGACAGCGCCGCGTAAGAGCAACTCAATTTTGGAGCAGCCTGGAACTCGGCCGCTGCTGGTTGCCTATGCTTGCCAAGGCCCCACACATTCACACCTCACTGTACACTACTCGCCATCCACTATTACACACACTTACGGCCTGCCCAAGCCTTGGTGCGAAGTTAGCTCCGGATAATGGTGAGTACTATGTGTTTCTAGCTCTCCCATATTGTTTATTGTAATTAGGAAATTCCACGTGGCCATATTTTGGCAAGTCCCTCTGCTGCTCGTCGATGGGATTACTCATGGGCCCTAATCCCGTCATCCTTGGTTGGGGCAGCTAGGGGCGTGTACAGTATCTATGTGTGAATCTTATAAGTAGTACATTACACCCAGTACACATTAATAACAGATGTCATCAATAATTAAGCCGGCGCCAGATATAGCAACAACATTTGAACACTTATTTGAAGGACTTTGCACATTTGTTTGAACATTTATTGGCGCAACCTGCCAGACATGCTTTGCAAACACATCTCTCCACAGTACGTTTATAAACGACAAACAAGACGATTTTGTGGATGCAGTGTGCCTGTATTATTTAAGTGTGTCATTATTTATTACATGTGCAAAAATAATACAATAAAATATTTAACTACATATACAACTAGTCTGTCATCTTCATCCAAGGGCTTTATCTTTTCAGATAACAGTTGACCATACAAATAACATTCATTCGATTGTTTTTTACTGCCTTTATGCTTGAACCTATTTTTAAAACGTACTGCGCACAAACGTCCCGCTGGACAACGCTTGCGCGAATGAACTTTGCGCAAGTGTGGCAGGTTACGCAAACATTTGAACACTGTCGACTCTGAACGCTTTGATGTGCGCTAAAAAACCGAAACCGCTTGGCAAAGTGCATTTCTTTGCACACTTATTTGAACATTAAGTCAAGGTCCCGTGCTATACATAGCTTCAAACAAGTGTTCAAATGTCTAAAGCTGTATCTGGCGCCGGCTTAAAAAGAAACTTATTCGCCAATTTAATTTCGTATTTGGCAGTTTTTGTGGTAACGAAGCAATCCATGTAAGTTTTCAGGGGTGACAACGCATCTTTATTTTGATTCTTAATCTTTTAATTAGATGTAGATATCTACGGGACATAACATCCCTTTACCATCAGGGTAGAGTGTGTGCTCATTTGTCACCCATACTTGTATTATAATCACAATCCCAATTAGAGCCCAACACAAGTTCATCACTGAACAAAGGCTTGCCTGCCACTAAGCACGGTCCATCCATTCTTACTTATAAAAATATTTCTCCGAATTTTTTTACGAACAGACACACACACACACGCACGAACACACACACACACACACACAGATAAGGAGAGAGAGAGGGGGAGGGCGTCTCACGTCTTGTCGCAGTACTGGCAGGCGTAGGGCTTGCGGTCGGAGTGCACTAGGCGGTGCGAGGCGAGCAGGCGCTGCGACGGGAACGACTTGCCGCAGCTGCACACACACGGCCGCGCGCCGCTGTGCCTAATCATGTGTGACGCGAGGAGCGCACTTGTATTGTACCTGCGAGAAAACACGTCTCCTCTTAATTTTACAATACTTAATTGAGAATAAAATACAATAGAAATAATATTTTATAAAAAATCTTCTATCCGTCGCCTTTTTTTCTTTCATCAGCCTGCAAAATCCACAGCTGTACATAGGCCTCTCCGGTCGTAGAGAGAACTTGCTCTACCGTTATGCTTGGCAGACAAATTGAAGAACGCAGCACCAGATGTCTCGCACCTTGAACGCTGCAAAATGTTGCAGGTCTTTTTACTTCACACTTGATGCTAAGAGTCTGTTGGTGGTATACCATCCATTGGAAGCAATAACATTTTTCTGGCTGATCTCGTAGTCTCGTTTTGTTTAATAGAATAAGGAACACACGGGCATGCGGCTCACCGTGTAGACCGCCGCCCATGAACAACTGCAACACCAGGGGGAATTGCAGTTGCGTTGCCAGCCTTTTATTAAGGAGTAAGCCTGTTTCTTGTAGGTCTCAAGTCGTATCGGTTTGGAAAAATCGCCAGTGGTAAACGAGTCCACAAAGTAGTCGTGCGAGGAAGAAAATTCCTAGTAAATCGTAGAGTGGTGGAATGCCAAGCATCTAGGTTTCGTGAGTTTTGTCGTGATGTATGTTAGAGAAATTCGACATCTGGAAATAATCCTAAAAATTCCTCTGAGCACTCCCCGTGGTAAATGCGATAGAAAATGCAAAGGAACTCGGTCGTCGATGTTTCGAGTCTCTCTTGCGGCTGATGCGGCCAAGTGAAAGGAGCTGGCACTGGCTTGCCTCGGCCCGGAGATGAGAACAGTTTTCCATGTGAGGCCGAACAGCCTGCGCCTTGTAAAGTGCAAGCAGTGTTCCGGCATGAAATACTGCCCTGCTCTGCTGAGTACGCCAAGCTTTTTAAGAGGCCAATTTAGCCTTCCCTTCCAAGTGACCGCGGAACTGTACCATATGTCAACGCCGAGGATTCTGATGCTGGCTGAGGCAACAAGGGGAGTGCCCTGAAATTGATTGCCCTTTTTAACTATAAACACGCAAACCTGTGTCTTCTTAGGGTTAAACTGGACTAGATTTAGGCGTCCCCAATCCGAGACTGTTTAACATAAACTCGACTTCATACACGAGTTTTTTCCGTTACTCGACGACGTGATCCCGAGAAATATTGGCACGGCTAGTGGAAAGACCATGAGTTATCGTTCGCAATGCAATGAATGTTTCTCGTTTGCAACATATAATTAATATGCAGAAGGTGATAGCACGCAGCCTTGTGAAATACCAGCGTTAATAGGCTTGTAGTCACAGCATGCGCCGTCTACTGCCACCTTGATGTTTCGATCTACAAGAAAACTGGTGATCCAGTTGCAAAATTTGACGGGAAGAACATAGAAAGGAAGCTTAGAAAGAAGCTTAGGTCTTCGCTATAACCAAACTCACGGTCAAAACCTCCCCCTTGCACTCTACTTCCTCCGCTCATCTATTAATCAGGTAAACTAGAAGATCACCAGCTGAGCGAACTCGAAGGAAACCGTACCTATTGGCGATTACTAATGAGCTGGTCGTCCTCAAGGTACATTATGAGTTGGCAGTCTATAATGGATTCCGTTATTTTGGAGAACAAGGAGATGATGGGGGGTAAACCTGTAGTTGGATGGGTATGAGCGGTCGCCTTTTTAGGTATCGGGTTCACTAAAGTACCAAGAGTTCGGGACCATGCCTATATTACTGGTATAGTCTAGAGAATCTAGAGAGAGGAATGCTTTGCGCAGAGAGCGCTGTGTAAACCGCACATCCAGCAAGGGACAATCACACCGCGGTATGGTCGCGATTTGTTTCCTCTTTCATCGAGAGCGAGTTGGTCGCACAAAAAAACCTACAAGATCGGCTTCCTTCTTTGCGGCATGGACCAGTAAGTCGTCCTTCCCGTGCAGAGATGGAAGAGATGGCTGACAGAAGTTCCCCAACTTCTCGTCAATTCAGCCGATGTGCTCTGACTTTGCCTTGGCAATGACTCTTTTGAAAGACCTGGAGGCGGAATTATATTTCTTTTTAAGAGCGCTGATGTTTGCATTCTGGAACGACGATGCATCAGCCCAGGCCCGGTAGCACTCCTGCTTATGGCGTGATGCAATTTTATAAGAACAACCAACCCATGGCTGAGATCTGCCTCCGGTGATCACCAAAGACGTTGGAATAAAAAGTTCCATACCCTAAAGTGCCACATGAGCGACAGAATCGGCAACAAGACAAAATAAAGAAAAGAGATCCAAGTGAGTCCGGACGAGAAGTCAGCAGATTCATCAGGGAAGGTACATGATCCTCCATATCTGGAATCCGTGTAAGCGAAATAACTAGTTGTGTCAGACCACATGTCTAGGCAACGTATTTGCTATACTAAACCATTAAGAACGGTGTTAACTTCCCAATTGACTAACAGATTGATTCATTGAGTAATGCAATGGGAGCACCTCTTGTCGCATATATCGCAGACGTGTCGCTTGTCGGGTTGCTCGCCGGTGTGCACACGCAGGTGGCGGCGCAGCGCGTACAGTTCGGCGAACGCCTTGCCGCACGCGCCGCACTCGTGCCGCTTCGACTGCATGTGCCGCTGGATGTGGCGCCGCAGTCTAGATCTACCTGTACCAAAACCATAATAACCCGGCTATATAACAGTATCGCAGGTTTCTTTCTTATATCACTAATGTGTGAAGCTAAACGCCCGTCTAATGGTAAGTGGATATTGCTGCCTATGAACACTTACTACCAACTATAAACAAAGAAGAAAGTCTGAGTCCCACTTATACGTTCTTTCCGAAACACAATAGTGTTTCTCTCTAGTTCCTCAATTTATGGTAGGAGACAAGATTTATGTTATGGCTGCTGACAGGCTGGCTCACCTGATACACGCGTGATGTTGCACGCCATTTGTATTACTATACTCTACTCCATAGATTATTATACACTGGATATTTTTCGTGGTAGAGCCATGCTGCAACTATATTACTGGTATAGATATATATATATAGATGGGCTGCACCATCTTCCTGATAACAAATTAAAAATAAAAATACTGCTGTTGCCAACCCACCTGCTAAGCGTGGCAACTGTGGCAAAGATATTAGTTATTCTTTATTTTGTTTTTATTTTTACGTGGTAGAGCCACGCTGCAGCTATATTAGTAGTAATACTGTTGTAGCACGAATGGATCGGCTCGCCCGGGGAAGGACCACGCTCTCACAGAATACCAGCGTAAAATACCAGCTTAACACTGCTGTGTTTCGTATGGTGAGTGTAGAGAACCGGAGACCCTTTTTACTGGAAACGAGGTATTCCATCTTAGTCTTCACGTATGACAACGCACCTGCATTTTGATTCGTAATCGAGGATAGACGTAGATGTCTATGGGCCACAGCAACCACTTACCATCAGGTGGACTATGTACTCATTTGTCACCCTATCCTATAAAAAAAATACAGTATAGTCTACAATAATTGTAGAATCAGCCAGTTACACATAATGTTAGTCTATTTGGCACTTTAATTTTATATATAACAGTAAGTACGCACCACGTACCACATAGCTATAGATATTATTGCGATAAATGTACGCTTAAACACACAGGCACTTACTCGTCTTAACCTTCTAATTCCCAATTAATGCCACCTTCACCATAATCATTACAGCCTAATAAATATAGCTCCTGCTGAATATAGGCCTCGCCGAAGATTGCATCATAGGTCATTGCATCAAGCTTGGCAACTATATCGACTGGCTGAGACTGCCGACAGGTATTAAGTTCGTCTATTGTTACCTTACTTGTAAGATGTTGTAATATTTATTTTATACAGCAGTATTTTTATTTTTTATTTGTTATCAGGAAGATGCTGCAGCCCATCTCTCGTTTCATATCCCTCTGTCGTCTTTTACGACACCCACGGCATGATATTATGTGGTAATAGTGGGGTACTATTACGCCGTCACTACACGGCGCGACGGACACCTGAACTAATATAAATCTATTACAAATAAATAAAATTGAAGTGTCTATTTGTAATGTGAATGTAACAGCTTTTTACTAAAAGCATATGAAAGCATATCTATACAAATAAATAAAATTGAAGTGTCTGTTTGTAATGTCAAAATAACAGCTTTTAACTAAATACATATGAAAGTGTATACGGTACTTATAACAAAAACACATTTTTTTAAATTTTTGTCTGTCTGTCGGTCTGTCTGTCTGTCTGTCTGTTCGTTCCGGCTAATCTCCGAAACGGCTGGACCAATTTTGACGGGACTTTCACTGGCAGATAGCTGATTTCATAAGGAGTAACTTAGGCTACTTTTATTTTAGAAAAAGAATTAGGGTTCCGCGCAAAAACATAAAAACCCTATTACGCGAGCGAAGTCGCGGGGAACAGCTAGTTCGGTAATAATAACAAAAAAAAACATTTTCTTAAATTTTTGTGTCTGTCTGTTTGTTCCGGCTAGTCTCCGAAACGGCTGGACCAATATTGACGGGACTTTCACTGGCAGATAGCTGATGTTATAAGGAGTAACTTAGGATCCTTTTTTTATTTTATTTTAATAAAAGATTTGGGTCCGCGCAAAAAAAAATTATGCCTTAAAATTGTAATAAATTACACGCGGGCGAAGTCGCGGGGGACAGCTAGTTATCAAATATTTTTCGTCGATTTTAAATGTAACTTATTTTTAAAAAAATGCGAATTATACCCAATTTTAATAATGGAAACAGATAGACAAAATTTGTAAGTAATGCCTAGTTCTATTAATTATTCAGATATTTTCCTCACTTTCAAATGTCTTGTGGCACTCGATGCAAATCCATGTGGCACCTTTTGCATGTAAACTGGAATGCAAACGCAAATCATGCTCGGAATTAAATGATTCCTTGCATTGGTCACAGTTGTGCGGAAGTTTCTCTGAACCATGCTCGCTTTTGAAGTGAGCTTTCAATGTCTTCGCTTTTAGAAATTTCTAAAAAGGAAGAAAACCTTGAATAAAAAATTGAAATCACACATGGCCTGTCGAGTTGTATATTAACGCTGCTCAGTTTTAAGACGTCGTTAAGTCGCGTGCTGTCTCTATCACTTTAAGTTAAAGTAACTGTGACACCACACACAGACGTAACGATGTCTTAAAACTGAGTAGCGTCAGGCCTGTCTCACTCCGCGCTTTAGGCATGAAAATATACCTACGCTGTGCGGCCGCCTACAAGAGGTTAATTCAGTGAGGTGTGAAGCGCATGCTCTAGCTGACGCGCCTTACGTTAACAAAAAGTATTTTTCTCTATGTATATTTTTATATTTTTCTCTATATATATAATAAAGTATAAGTAAGTAGTAGTAGTAGTAGTAAGTAATACCTTTAACCTACCTCACATTGAACAATAATGTTCTTATTATCAGCAAATTACTAATACATTGCATAATACTTCGGTGTATTCTACTACCAACTAATATCAAAAGATTAAATTTGTTTTCTCACAACACCTAACCCTACAGTAGGAGCTGCTGTAACAAAGGCTCGTAACGGGCTAAGTGATATAGACTATCGCACGCGGACGTAAGGTGCATTTTGATTTAAAACGTGCGCCGCAACAATCGGTAGGCTATTTTAACGAAGATCACATCCGAGGCGTACAAAGTATTATGAACATTAGCTAAGTTGTAACTAGGTTTAAACTCGCAAATTGGCTATCAGAGTGATTCTTCTGTACTTGTACTTATTATCTATACTGTAGTAGCGTTTGAGTATTTGGCCATAACAGTCTCTTTTATACAAAAATACTATGTATAAGGAGTTTAGTAACATAATGTAGTAAAGCGGCAAACATTCCCTATTTCTACAGAACATTACAGCAATAGCAAATTGCTATTCCTTTTTTTCTTTACATCTGCGTATCTGCTAATTATAAAATTTTAGGTGTGTAAAACTATCATAATTCCCTGAATCAAATTTGGACTTAATAAAATTACCGTTCAGGTGAGATTTTCATATGTTTCGTAAAAAATATCCAAAGTACAGTCGACCCCCGGTAATCCGGCCCCAGGATTTTAATTAAGGATTAGAATTTTTACTCTTTCTCTTATCTACTTGCCGGTAATAAATAAATGTGCTTATTTCACATAATCAGCAATTATTCCATTTGAGTAAATACAGAATTATTAACGACGACGACCCATCCGTCACAGCCTATAAAAGTCCACTACTTAACATAGGCTTTCCCTTATAGATTGCCGCATATTGGGGGAATTTACTAAAGTTGCCACACTTGGCAGGCGGGTTGGCAACCGCAGCTTTTTTATTATTTTGAGTTATTGTCAGCTGATACCCATCTCTTGTTTCACTTTCCCTGCCTTATAATTAAACCCTTTTAATGTTAAATAATTTCCAATAAAAGTTTTCAGCTAGTTCGTCCCTGTAAATTTTTTCCTTAAGACATATTTTATAAACTATAGATTTTCGTTTTATATAAATGTCCTAATTTTGTTCTTCTTACCTTAGAACACAATGAACAAAAATGAGATTTCTTTTTTTCACTAGCTACTTTATGGTTTCTCTTTGATGAGATCTTTTTATGGAAAGTACTTGAATCTGTTGAGGAGATTAAAAACAATGAATAAAGAATTAACTTTGAAATTTATTAAAATATCTACATCAAATAAAATATTTACAAGATTACCTGTCATAGAGATGTTTGCGTTGTTCCTACAACAGAAAAGTTTTCATTACACATCAATTTATGAACTCCTGTATACAATTTTACATATTTTTATTATAAATTATTTATATTAAGTCAGTAAGTATGGCTGAATGCATATAACATAAAAATTAAAAAAATGTTACAGCCCACTGCTGGGCGCAGGGTTTTAGGGCAAGAAAATGTCCGCCGCGCTGCCCCAATGCGTGTTGCCGAACTTCACATGTCTTCGAAATCTTTTTTTCTCTTTTCTAAGACATAGAGGTTTCCTCACGATGTTTTCCTTCACCGCCGAGCACTTGGTAAATCAGCACAAAATTCCAATTAACAATTTCATTGTTGTCGGCGGGTATCGAACCCGGGTTGCTCGCGTACTGTAATATTTACAGCAAGCGCTAACCATCTGAGCTACCACCGGCCACGGCTCAACATATAGGTATTAGATATTAAATTTATCCAGATTTATATATTCATTAATGTAAAATAAATTAAGCTATATTTTTATTTTATATTAAAAATGGTTCAATGTTCAGGTAAGTTCCTTTTTTGAATTTGATTATTGCGGGTTTAGCTTTTAAAAAAGTTTTTTTACTTACTGTATAGCCTGTTCTTCGTTCTTTATTAAATTTAATGTAATGTTGTCTGCGTCATCGTCAAATTCGTTTATATCATCCAAATATTGTATATCTGTAATAAGTTAATATGACAATATTCATAAGGTAGGTTTGCAGTACACATTTAAGTATAAAATGTTTTCGTTTTTCAATGTTTCATTTTTAAACAAAAAAAAAGTGTATTACTTTCCTTTCCTAGTCATGTCGACGTATTCATGCTGCAGTGAAATGCATATCCCAGAACCAATTTCAATATGATATTATTATTGTACTCAAGGGCGTTTAAATGGTCCACACAGTCTCTTTTTAGTTTTGTGGTTACTCAATTCGAATTTTGTGCTTGTCTTACTGCTTACATACATATAGGTACGTCACGCCTGTGATACCCGAGGGGGTAGGCAAAGTTCAAAGAGCAGTGAGTCACTCAAACCACGTTTAGCCAAAATATATGGAATAGATGGAAAATTGTGAAAAAAGTGATAAGTAGCTAGCCTATTGTCTACACATACAGGCAAATAACACAATTGGCACATTTTTTTGGCATGTAAACATGTGAACTAAGCCCCAGACCAACATGGGCTAGACCTATTGCTATAATTCACACCCTTATACCTTCATGCTCTTCCAGCTCTTCTTTTGTGTCATAGGATTCATTATCGTTTTCTTTCACCTCAGCGTCCGTAATTGACCTGAAAATTATACGTAAATATTGTTGAACATCGGTATTTAGATTTTTCATATAACATTTATATCTTAAACCACAAACTATAAAGGCAGAAGTACAATACAAGTCAAGTATTGTTTTGTATGCACTGTATGCATTAGAAACTTTTAAACAACATGGATTTACCTTAAGGCAGAGTTATTAGCAGAAAAAGAGTAGTTTAAGTTTGGATTATAAATTTGTTGTATCACAAACGATTCTTGATTCAGTTGCCAAACCGCTAGCCAAGCAAGCAAATCTTGGGAGAGGCCTATGTCCAGCAGCTGACTTTTAGAGCCCGCAATAATGTATATCTAATGTATTGTCATATGTTCAAGTTGAGTTTGAGAAAATTCATATATTTATTTTGAATAGGAAATAGAATAACTTTATCAAAAATTTCTGCCTCATAACATATACTCCACATTGTAAGGGGAGCAGTGTCTAAATGACAGAAGAATAACAAACATTGCTTGCTTATTCAGACAGATTGGCAGATGCCAACTTCACAGCACTGGCAATTACAGCAAACCCACTCAATAACGACGGTCTATTTAATTTCAATTGGTTGATAGTGGTGATGATGATGCTACCAGTGGCACTCAATTTTACTGCAGAATATGTCTCTATGATCAAACCCAATCAATAATAATGTTCTACAGGCCGAATCCCGGCTACATGGGACATGATTATAGACTTTCGGAGGCAAGGGATGAAACACCGCCAACTTCCCAAATCTGCTAGTGAGAATTTCTCGACAGAAAGACCCAGTAACAGATTTTTTGGCCCAACCTGGAATTCACATGATCAACAGTTGTGCTTACAACCAATAGACCAACAAGGCAGTCGCACCTCACAATATCCTTATAACCTCCTACACACATACACACACTGTCATACTACACACAAGGACACTTACCAACACTCTACAACTTTAAATTCACATGATCAGCAGTTGTGCTTACAACCACTAGACCAACAAGGCAGTCGCACCTCACGATATCCTTATAACCTCCTACGCACATACACACACTGTCATACTACACACAAGGAGGCTTGCCCACACTACAACCTTAAATTCACATGATCAGCAGTTGTGCTTACAACCACTAGACCAACAAGGCAGTCGCACCTCACAATATCCTTATAACCTCCTACACACATACACACACTGTCATACTACACACAAGGAGGCTTACCCACACTCTACAACTTTAAATACACATGATCAGCAGTTGTGCTTACAACCACTAGACCAACAAGGCAGTCGCACCTCAAAATATCCTTATAACCTCCTATGCACATACACACACTGTCATACTACACACAAGGAGGCTTACCCACACTCTACAACTTTAAATTCACATGATCAGCAGTTGTGCTTACAATCACTAGACCAACAAGGCAGTCGCACCTCATAATATACTTATAACCTCCTACACACATACGCACACTGTCATACTACACACAAGGACACTTACCCAAACTACAACTTTAAATTCACATGATCAGCAGTTGTGCTTACAACCACTAGACCAACAAGGCAGTCGCACCTCACAATATCCTTATAACCTCCTACACACATACACACACTGTCCTACTACACACAAGGACACTTACCCACACTCTACAACTTTAAATTCACATGATCAGCAGTTGTGCTTACAACCACTAGACCAACAAGGCAGTCGCACCTCACAATATCCTCATAACCTCCTACACACATACACACACTGTCCTACTACACACAAGGACACTTACCCACACTCTACAGCTTTAAATTAACATGATCAGCAGTTGTGCTTACAATCACTAGACCAACAAGGCAGTCGCACCTCACAATATCCTCATAATCTCCTACACACATACACACACTGTCCTACTACACACAAGGACACTTACCCACACTCTACAGCTTTAAATTAACATGGTCAGTAGTTGTGCTTACAACCACTAGACCAACAAGGCAGTCGCACCTCACAATATCCTTATAACCTCCTACACACATACACACACTGTCATACTACATACAAGGAGGCTTACCTACACTCTACAACTTTAAATTACTTATTGGTAAGTGATCTGTTTTGTATACAGTGAAAGGGACCTTCAAGAAAAGAGCCTACTCCTTTTTAGGAGGCTTAAAGGCTGGCAACGCATCTGCGATTCCCCTGCTGTTGCAGTTGTTCATGGGTGGTGATAGTAATTTACCATCAAGTGAGCCGCATGCTTGCTGGCCCCCTCTCCTGTAAAAAAAAAGAAATGTATAATCTTAAAGCGAAGAGTGCGGCTGTCTGAAACACAGATATTAAGTTATCTAGTTCAGACACAGATATTCACTGAATTGTATTTATTGTTAAGCTGTATCTCAGTGTTTGTATCCTAGAAATTAAAATATTTTTATGCTTGAAATAATATTTTTTTTTATTTTAACTTCAGTGCCTACAATTGAGAACTATAAAGAGCCAAATCAAATGATGTATTTAAATATTATTGTAATAAAATAACTTTTACCTTGTACCAATTTCCTCTTCAGTTTTGAGTTCACCAATTAGAAATTTGAAAGTTATATCTGATTTTTGACACTTGTTTTTAAAATCATAACAAAAGCTGAGATCATTTTTACAAAGCTCACATATTTGGAGGGGAAATTCATCAGAATTCACCTGCAAAGTAATTTTTTAACTAAATTTTTACTGTTGCGTGATTTAAAATTTAACAGTTAGAATTTCTTTGCTTTATAGTATCCAACAACATAAGAAGGAAGAGGTGACTGGGCGGCGAGGGAGGAGAAGATGAACCATTCCCTTCACTTACCGTCCCTTGAAACTTATAGCTTTTCTTATATGCATTTGTGAAAATTTCATATTAAAAATCAATTATCAGAGTTAAACTTTAGAAATGAAATAAGTCACCTTGAAAGGGGGTTGAGGGGGTGGGGTGAATAGGTATGAGTGGTAAAGGGTGTCACTCCGACCAATTCCTCCTGGAAATATATAACGTTTTTAACAGAGTGTAATTTACTCTAGAGTGAAATTACCTTGTCAAGAAGAGGATGTGGATTGTGGAACCTCAATAGTCTTAAAAAACATGTTTTTTATTTATTACACACTGATAAGTATTTAATAGTATTTTGTGTTGTCAAACATGTAAAGGGCAAATTTCTATGTAATATCCCCATCTTAAATTTCTATGTAATATGTGTTGTAGTATAAAAATATAGGCGATTACATACTTTTTACAAAGGAGAAATCATAGTTGCTTAAATTTTTTTTAATCATAATTTCAAATTTACTATACCTCATTTTAAATATTATTTATTTTAAGTTGAAAGTAACATAATAAAATAACATTATGGAATCATTTATAAACATTTATAGACCAAATTTTCCAAAAAAGAAAAGATCTCTTTTTATAATTCGACTGTCACATGAAAAGTACAGCAAAGAAAATTATTTACATACAAAAAATGTTTTTTTCGCTTTATTTAAATGTGTTTTAGTATTACCAAATCTACTGAACTTTTAAATAACTTAAAAAATATTTAAAAAAAAATTTTAAATCTTGATAATAGTCAGTGGAATATTTTAAATACCTACATAATTCCATGTTTTATTTGTATAAGGGAAAGCAGCAGTGATGATAATGATGACAATGATGACTACTCAGACAGCAATGCAGATGAGCAAATTTGGAATGCTAGATTCAGATTAATACTTTTTTTAAATATCTGTTTTGGTCACCCTACCTATTTCCCACAAATTAAACCAATATATTCATGAATGCATCATTATACTTCAATTAGAACCAAAATCACCAATGAAATTGTACCACAGGAAACTGAAACCAACTCAGTTTCTTTGGTAGTAGTGGAAAAAAAAAGATTTCGGTAGCCACTTTTAGGAAACTAAAATCCACAGCTAAAATTTCTTACTCATAAAAAGTAGCATATACTTGTGCAATAATAAATACATACCAGGACTTTAAATTAATTATAGCTGAGTTATAAAACTAAGCATTTAGTAATTATAAGAAATCTGAATTTTACATGATTAGTAAAAGCATATCCATAGTTGGTATTTAATAATTGATTTGTGCTTACTTCGATAGATGTTATCGATGAATACATGTCTTGGATATCTTTATATAAATATGATGTTTTTGTAAATAAATTGCTTTTTGTTGATAAACATATTCTACACAATTTTTCAATATTGCACTCAGTATGATTTATTTCTTCTTTGACTTTATTTTCTAGGGGCAAAGTAAGTTCCATAAGTTTATCTTTGTGAATTAACTCTTCAGTATCTAACTTTATGCTGAGATTTTCACATTCCTTTTTAAGAATAATTTGTTGTTCATCTGACGAATTCATTTTGATTGAGAAATATTTTTATTCCATTTTATTGAAAATATCTGAAAAATGAATAGATTCTATTCTAAGATTTGTTTTCATTTGTGAATGTCAAATGTCAATGTCATTTGATTTTTTTATTAAGATTTATGGCATGGATGCTTGTCTTTTATGCCATTTTGTCCTTTGAACATTTGATTTATTCACTAATGTTGGGACTAAAGCCCTGTTTTCACTCGAGTGACTCGAACTCGACTGAATATGTCTAACTCCTAACTTGAAGTAGATTTGTGTTTATAAGCCATATTGGTCCGGAAAAACCGATGGTGACAGTAAATTCTATTCTAAGATTTGTTTTCATTTGTGAATGTCAAATGTCAATGTCATTTGATTTTTTTATTAAGATTTATGGCATGGATGCTTGTCTTTTATGCCATTTTGTCCTTTGAACATTTGATTTATTCACTAATGTTGGGACTAAAGCCCTGTTTTCACTCGAGTGACTCGAACTCGACTGAATATGTCTAACTCCTAACTTGAAGTAGATTTGTGTTTATAAGCCATATTGGTCTGGAAAAACCGATGGTGACAGTAAATTCCACAGTATGGTCGTGCGAGGCAGACACTTCCGCGTAAATCATAATCAATGAAGAGGATGGAATTTCTAGTTCTGTTGCAGTGTAAGAAGGTGGAATTCAGCAGCCGGAATTAATCCGAACTCTGAACACTTCCTATGGTATATGCGGTACAATATGCAAAGAGATGGTAAGGCTTCGCAAGGCCAGTGGATCAAGCCGATCGGATGGAACTTGGTCATCGACGATTCGGGCTGCTCTCCGTTGAATACGGTCAAGTGGAAGGAGCTGATACTGGGGTGCACTGCACTCATGTTCTCATCTCTGAGAATACGAGGGCGAAACTGCGCTTTGTCAAGCTACAAGCGGTGGTCTGGCATTAAATATCAATATATCAAGCTTTTTTGTTGCTAGTTTTGCCTTACCTTCCAAGTAGCTTCGGGGCAAGTGGATCGGGTGCACTAAGGTCTTCCATGGGCTTGGAAGAACGCCTAAAGAGTAAGAGAACTGGAATAGACGAAGACGAGACCCGTAAGTCCCAGTGCTAACTCTAGAGCATACGTATTCAGCACAATTCGGGAGATTCCATCAGGCCCCTTCTACTAATAGATGTCAAGGAAGACGTGCTTTACGCACTGAGTACTGTGTAAACAGCACATCCGGCATGGAGTACTCACGCCGCGGGATGGTCGGCGGTGTGTTCCCCCTGTTGTGGAGAGTCGAGCTGGACGCAAAAAGATAACCTAAGAGATCAGTTTCCTCCTTTGCAGCGTGGGCCAGCGAGTCATTCTCCCTGCACAGAGATAGTAATGATGGCTTACAGAAATTACCTTGGGCAGTCTTGGCGAGAGACCACGATGCATGAGATCCCAAAGAAAGGCAAACTAGTTTCTCGACAATTATCTCAATGGGCTCCAACTTTGCCCTAACGATAACTCTTTTGAAGGACTTGGAAGCAGAGTTCTACTTCTTTTTGAGTGCTAGTGTTTGCATTCCGTGATGCCGATACGTAGGCTCAGGCTTTGTAACACTCCTGCTTTTGCTACGACGCAATTTTGCAGGAGCGACCAAAGCAAGGCTGGGATTTGCCGCCGATATGTACTACAGATGACGGGATGAAAATTTCCATCCTCTGAAACATCACATCGGTGACAGACTAAGGAAAGATGTTGGGATCATCCAGCGATAAGTAAATCCGCCCAAATGGGTAGGATGCGGAAACAGTCTGCATCCTATCCCAATTAGCTGATCTACTATAGCGACACACACGGCGACAGATTACATATCGCGCCTGTAATGAGCATGTGATGGGCACCGAACTCAGTATCAGGCAGTGATCTGAAGAGCCAAGAGGGCATCGACGAAGACCCGATATTCGTCCGGATGAGAGGTCAGCAGAAGGTCCAACAGGGAAGGTGCATGATCGTTCACATCTGGAATCCGTGTAGTGATCGTTTGTGTCGGACCATATGCCAAGGTAAAGTCGTGATCATATCTCCAAGCATGATCGGTAGTACGACAACCAAGTCATTCAGCGTGGTGGGCCAATCACCGAAAAGCACGATCTCTGCGGATGGGATCTGTTGTAGCACGGAATCTCTAGCAATTTGAACTTACCCGATGAGTCGGTCTGTCTCGGCATTTCCGCTGTAGGATCTATAAAGGCACCGTGACGACCACCCCCGCGTGGTCTATGCGTAGTCATAGGATAGACAGGTCTTTAAGACTAACGAGGCGTCGAGAACAGATATTCTCTAACGTACACACATAGTCTGGCCCGAGGTAGATAAGAATGTTCCAGTTTGTAATCTGGGTAAGATAAATAAGATGCCAGAGAGAACTGCGTCTCGGTGAAAAAGAGCAAGGCTTCTCTTAGCCGTCTCGAGATGGTGGTGGACAGCGTTAAAGTTTGAATGAAGTCCCCTTATGTTGCAGAAATCCACAGTGAGCGAGAGATGGGGTGCCGCAGTAATTTTGCTCCGTTTGCCTCGTGTAGTACGTGGAGTAGCCTAGCGTGTGATACGCTAACGTTTTGCCTATGTCAACACCCACTGGAAGGTATGCAAACTTGGTGCCTATGCCTACAGCGTTGAAGTCTGTGTGATACACTTTATGCCTATGTCAAAGCCACTGGGAGGTATGCAAACTTGGTGGAAGATATTTTGGGTGTAGATTCCCTGAAAAGGATTCTCCAGGATTATTGATGCTGGTATCCTCCTCGTGCAGATTTTTATTTAACACCGCTTTCATGTTTTTCACTAAACTATATTATAATTTATAACATTGCTTAGTTGAAAAATATGTAATTATAATTTATAATATATAGCCGCCAGAGGGGCACCGATGTGGTGCTAGCCTAGGGCTCTGTCGATATTTGATCCACCTCTGGTTTTGTTAAGTATCGGACGTAGGGACACGAGTAAAACACTTGCTAGCTGGCAACGCACTATCTTTAATACGACATAGATGCGCCGGGGGAGGTTCCGGGTGTGGGGGCACAGCCACGCGTACATAGATAAAAATGCATAAATAACATCCACTCCCAACAACATTAAAACAATACTCCTTAATGTTATACAAATTAAGATTTAGAGCTGCAGTGGAACGTACTAAAAAAAAACTTTCTATAATCGACTACAGTACGATCACGTAACAATCTCTTAGATGCAGAATTGAGCGCCTCTGTTTTCACAGATGTCTGGTCATCGCAACTCATCGTCTCCGCCTCTACAAATTCTTCGTCTGATTTCGAATCGCTTCTAAGAACCGGATCTTCTCTTCCAGAGGTTGTTCGTTCAGTATGTTGTACTAATTGCTCAACAACTTTTGAAGAAGTTGAGTCGTTTTCCTCATATAACTCTACTCTTCTCCCCCTATCAGTTCTGCATAGCTCTGGAGATAGCTGTAACAGGCTGAATTGAGTTGTAGTTGTAGTCGGCAGACTTTGGACGGAAGACTTCGGCGTCGGCAACGGGGCAGGTTAAATCGGCGGGAGAGACACGTAAGAAGACTGAGGCAGCGGAGAGCACGGACCAGGTAAGTCCATATCTGTAGTTTGTTCGTTACGTGATCCATCATCCAATACTAACTGATCTTTATGTCTTTTGTATTATTTCTTTAGTATCCTATTTTCTTTAGTATTATTTCTTTACACCATTTGAATGAGTTTTTGTTTATAAATTTTTTAAACAATATATGTTCATTTTCGTTAAACTCGTTCCTCTTTGTTTACTTATCTTAATTTGCGTACACTGTTTATTTTTTACACGATAATGACGGCCGGTGACGAGGGTGAAGATGAGAAGAGTGGACCGCAGTGGCAGAGTGAACAGAATTACGATAGTCCATTAAATATTTAATTAATTCACTATTAGCGTCTTTCGCATTATTACGTTACAAAAGGCAAGATTTTATACCCTTTTTTGCTATTTTGACAAAACTCTTCGCTTGGTGGTAAGTAATGTGTAATTCCATTACTCGAACAGAAAGACTCAAATTCGTGTGAACATAACGCTGTACTATTATAACTCGCAACCGTTTTTGTAACACCAAACCTCATTTCATATTATACGCCACGACCCATTTACCATGTGCATCTACTATCACTAAATACACACAACCATTGATTGGACCTAAAAAGTCGATGTGTATGCGCTGAAAGGGAAGAAACAAACTCCCAGTAAGAGGGAGGGGCGCGAGGGGGGGGGGGAAGACGGCCACAGCTGGACACAGACCTCACATGCTCCTATCATTTTCTCTGTAGCTTGATCGATCCCCGGAAACCAAAACCTCGAACACGCTTCGGCTTTTGTCTTTACTACACCTAAATGAGAAATATATAGTTCCTTTAGAATCGGTGTGTACAAACTCTCCGGTAAAATGACTTTATGACCTCTCATAACACATCCACTTGCGAAAGACACCTGATACCTACATAGAAAAATGGTTTTAATTTAACCTTTTATCGCTAACTTTCGATGGTTCACCGTTAGCTATAAAACTAATTACGCTTTTTAAAACCTTAACTTTGTTTGTTTCTTCACGCAATTTATCCGGGGTCGCAGGCATACTACCATCGGATACAAAGCAAATAAGTGGCGCGGTTACAAGTCGGCTCGCTCTCGGCGCAAGGCTCACAGGTGCAGGCCGCGCAGGCGGCACGCTGGAGGGGCCAGGCCACAGAGTAAAGAGTAAGGACTTCTTTACTCATGTGGCCGGGCCGCGTTCGCGCCGGGAACGGGCAGGCTCACTCGCGATAAATAATCCGCGCTATTATCGCGACTTCGTATGTATTCAATTACTTAGTTTCAACTGCCAAGGAATAATGCGTGTCGTTGAAACCTATTTGCAGATACTTCAGGTATACCCTTGTGTGGCCGAAAAATAGATACCAATGGCTTTTGATATGTACGTAAAACAAACGGTTCTGATATACCATAAAGATATTGATAAAATGTCGCATGCCTTTTCTCAGTTGCGTTCAATGTTCTTGAGGCATACGAAATAGGTCTTTCGAGTCCGTCCTAATCCA